GAGAGAGAGAGAGAGAGAGAGAGAGAGAGAGAGAGAGAGAGAGAGAGAGAGACTTTCTAATGTGTGAAAATTAAACTAGGAAAATGGACAGAAACATGATAGTATGTAAATAGAGTTCTGAATTTGGAATGTCATATGCTTTGAAAGAGACTAAAATGTAGTATTACTACTGACAACTTCTGTTTGTCTAGTAAAAAAAACTCATAGCAATTAGAAGGTTGGTTGGACAGAATAAGGCAACAAGCATAAGGTGCATTGGTTTTTTCAAATATAATTCTAATAAATGTGATGTATCGTTGTTAATGAATTCTGTAAACAAAGTAATTTTCTACTTTTGTCATATCCATAGCAGCAACTAATTGACATTGGCTCTCAGAAAAGCCAAGGCTCAGATATGGTTAACATTGGGATGAGAGCTCACCAGTAAATCTCGCAGCTAAAGACTAAAATAAGAGCTTAAAAGCACATCTCCCCCCAAAAACCCAAATTACTGATGCAGTATTGTCAACTTTGTCAACTTTAAAGATGTGTGGACTTCAACTCCCAGAATACCCCAGCTAGCATAATGGTTGGAGAATTCTGGGAGTTGAAGTCCATACATCTTAAAATAGCTAAGAATGAGAAACTTAGCAGTTCTAAATTGCTCCTCCAAAATCTATATGGAAAATTCCATGCAGGAGACATGCTCAGTTTAATTTGTTTTGTTAAGCCTGGTTTAGAAAAAGATTATTTGATATCTTGGCTTTAAGGTGTTGTTTTCTCACAAGAAAAATAATTACCTTAAAAGCAAAACATTATTTTATGCCAGTTAACAAAGAGCTGGAGATATTAACATTCTGATCCTTAATCTGTTTTCTGAGAGTAAACTCAATTGATTTTAATATAATAAATGTTATCCAGGATAAAAGAATCTACTTAGTGACTTTTATGTCCCATTTATTTCCATGGGGGAGAATTCAACATTTAATTAATGTATGTAAGTGAGCAATGATAACTTTTTTATGTCTTAGTGATATGAAATATTAATGTATTAACCTATAACGGGACCATCTATTTCAGTATTTTGATATACATTTAATAGAAGCCAACATATGTTTACTTCAGAACAAAAACCATAGACTGCAACTTTAGAGTAAAAATCTAGGCATGTTATTTAATAGATTGGAATTAAATTTAATCTTAATGTCATTGATTTCAGTCAGATTATTTGACTAAAGAAGACTTCTGGGGGAGATATGCAGGGGTGGGATCTGACCAGTGTAACTATCGGTTTGGTGATTTATGTTTTGCTGTGCGCGCATGTGGAACGTCATCAGCTTGCTGCCTGAATGGCTGAGTAGCACTGCACACAGGTGCGCAGCATTTGAAAAAGCACTATTTTCCTGCTTTTTAAACCACAGCTGTGCTGCGCAAAGCAGCTGTGGTTGAAAAAGCAGGAAATAAAGGTCAGGTGGGTGGGTGGGCCAAAACAGCAGCAGACATAGAACCGGTTCTATGTCTGCTGCTCTTCAGAACTATCGGTTCTATTATTTTTTCTTTCTCTTTTTCTTTAAGTTTTTAAATGTTTTTATTATTATAATCAACATTTTAAAATAAAAATTATATATTAAAAAGTGTATTTTGACTAAACATGGGACTAACTCTACATGTTCTTTGAGGGTTACTTTCAATTAATTGGGGGTAAAAATGGACCTGAATTCAATGGAGTACATTCCAAGTAAATGATTATAGAATTGCATTACTTGGAATGTACTGCATTGAATTCAAATGGCTTTTACGCGATTGATATGTCACTGTTGCAGTATTATGGAGCAATCCTGATTCCAACGTGCTAAGAAAATTGATCTAGCACAACTGAGTGGATTGGATTAGAAAAAAATCATTCTTGTTGGTAGTAATTGCTCTCCACCATCAAATTTTTACTTCTGCCTGGAGAAAGTTAGCTGTTGGGGTTTTGTGACTGAGGTTCTCTCTCTTCAAAATGATTGTAGTGTCAGCATTCCAAGTAACAACCTCCAAAACAGACAACTCTGAGACAATCATCTTCTCAAAGTTCCACTTTATTAGAAATATCATATTGGCACATCTGGGAAAACTTGAATCTGAGAGTTCCGGGTTTTCCCTTCCCCAAAAGAAATTCAAAGATCCATCCCCTGCCTTCATCAGTCCATCATATGGCACAATCATGTCTTCACCCCATCCAGAGACTATCACCAGTCACTCCCCTCCACGTGCAGGGTGAAACGTCCTTGATTCTCCCAGAAATAATGTTATGGCTAATTATCCACTGTTCCTTAACACCCCCCCCCCAAATTCTCAGGCGCTAAATGTGGCAGCCTAGAAACTCCAAAAGGAAAATGGCTTCCCAGGCTGACAGGTGGCCAAAATATACCTGAAGAGAAACTGTCAAAGTGGCATAGAAGGTAGAGGAGAGAAGAGGACATCGCAGACAAAAATGATCCTTGCTAAAGTCATAAATCTATCAGATCTCCACTCCTCAATTCCCTTCTTTGAGCCAGAGGCTGAATGGCTATTGTCAAATCATCCAACTAGTTGGAGTTAGTTCAGCTAATCCTCAGCCACAGCTATGCTGCCTTTAAAGCTTGAAAAGAACAGTTTAGATTCCACATGCCACTAATAAATCAACCAGAATTCCCTGTTAGGTTAGTATTTTACCCTTCTTCTAACGACCATATATTACATAGTTTCATACATTTTTGACAATGGAGATTATTTTGTTTGAGTAAGAATAAAAACACTATTTCCTTTAATATCTGTTTTGGATTGGATAATTAATTTTGAATCCAACAATATAGTTCTTTAAAAAGACATGCTTTGGAAAAGTTGTTCAGGCAAAAGAATTGAGTGTACTGCCATAAATCATTTTTATAGTAATAATAAAATGGTGCTACTGCTGTGAGACTTTTGCTTCAAATATTTTTATTTCTAAAGTCAGTTAGGAGTTTCTTAGTCATATAACATTTCTGTCTGTCATCTTTTAAAGGATTATTGAAATGTATAATTTGGAGAGTCTCAATGTTTATGAAGGTTTATGAAGGTATGCATGGTTTCTCATTTAGAATTGTCAACTGTTACCATCATAACTTTTCAGCTAGTTGATTAAAAATAATGATTATGAATCCCCAGTAGGAAATCACCTAGTCCATGAGAAGAGGTACAATTTTGGGTTTTTACTACAGGAATATATTATTAAATAGCAATAGCACTTAGACTTATATACCACTTCAGCGCCTCTCTAAGTGGTTTACAGAGTCAGCATATTGCTCCCAACAATCTGGATCCTCATTTTACCGACCTCAGAAGGATGGATGGCTGAGTCAACCTTGAGCCAGTCAGGATCGAACTCTTGGCAGTGGACAAGAGTTAGTCTGCAATACTTCATTATAACCACCGTGCCACCACAATTACTCAACCAGTCTGTCCAGTTTTACTATGTCAATATCATAGTAAATATTCCAGTAAAAATATCTTTATGATGTTCCCTACAGGAGAATTACCTTATATGGATTGTAAGAATTGTAAGAAGAAAAGATTGAGTTTTCTGTATCACTTCGTTTTCATCTTGAACTCATATAGAAACTGTAATAGTAGCAGTATTTGAATATTAGACTATCTTTCCTGAATTTCATCTTACTGGATTTGGAGAAATTGCAAATGAAATATTTATTTGTGTGTCATATCAACTACATTTATTAGATTTTTACACTTATTACCTAAACTTTTCTTCATCTTTCTGCTCAGTATGTGAAAGTAGAGGTGACATGATCTGATTTGTTATTAAGCAACGAGATGAATATATTATATATGTGTAAATGTGAGAAAGAAATCTCATTCCACTCTACTCTTCTTAAGGCCCTCAGAGGTTCCCTGATTTTGGAGGACAAAAATCTCTGAGATATTCAGCTTGCCTGCTATCTCCAATGTGTCAAAAATATCTGCAAGAGTCAAAATTGCCAAGGTTGCAATTAAAGCATCCAAGTCTTGCCCTTTTTATATGTTCATCAAAGTTACACCAAGTTACAAAGAGTCAAGCCTTTAATCACAATACCATATTTACCATTTTGTCTGTCTTGAGACCTACCTAGCAATGCTGTTGCTTTCTGTCTTTAAATGATCTGTAGAAGATTCAGCTGTCAGGTCTCATCCATTTCTAAATATAGGATGATATTGCCACCTTGTCTTTTCTTTAGGTAGTACACACTATGAGGAAGAAGCAAGGATATTTACAATGTATGTGTAACGAAGTCAAGTTGGCTGCCATGATGGTGAAATTGAAGCTCTCTCTGTGCTTTATGTTGCAGACATAAAAAGAGATGATGCTTCAGTGACACTACCATGATCAACATCTCAACATTTTTGGTCATAGCCAGCATGCTCCTGGAAAGAAAGCAACTTATTTTTTATTTTTTTTAAAAAAAAATTAAAGTAATTGAACATTTGACAATTACTGAGAGGTAAAGTCATACTCATTTAGGAGACATAAATCTATTTTAAAATTTAGACATGTCATTGGCATAATCATAAAATCATGCCATTCAAAATCCTATTCAATAAGAACTACTGTGAATACCAACATGTAAAATATTGTTGTTTCAGTCAGATAAAATATAATAGTCTATTAGACATAGAACTTCCTTGAGGGAAGATGAACATTGCATGTAACAAATAAGAAATACTGAAAATGTTTAATTCTGAACATGGCCTCATTTTTAAAATAATGGAGTGTGTAGCCTTATGGCAAATATGCAACATAACACAATTGACCTCATTCAGCCAGCAAAATATCAACTATAATTGTCATCTATTTCCTCATTCAAGACTTTATTAAATAACATTCTGCTTCTTTACAGCTAAGCAATTTGAAACAAGTGAGCTTTGTAGATGTATCAACAAACAAATTCTTTTCAATCCCAATATGTGTACTCCGGATGTCAAATCTCCAGTGGCTTGATATAAGTAATAACAGTCTGAGAGATCTCCCACAAGACATAGACAGGTAGATTTTTATATGGTTTTTGCAGTGACAGTTGGGTTTAGCAAATAAAGCATTGCCTGGCTATTTTGTCAACATTTGTAAGTGATTGGAAAACTGTCAAGCTCATTTATGCTAGAGTCACAAAGCCCCAGGTTTACAACACTGTGGAAGACAGGGCTTCCTTGTCTCCCCTTACAAAGCAATCTGAAACTGATCCACAATAATCTTCACTTCTCCCATCCTCCATTGCGAAGAATATACCCAGATAATATCACAAACCAATCAGTGTTGTTTCTCAATATCCCTGTGAGATTCTGCACTGAAATCCTTGCAATTTTTCAATCAGTTGTGTTTCCCAATACAGGTGACCCGGGTTGCACATTGCTATGATAGTTTGATGGGGAAGAGCAAAGATAATTATCAGCCAATGCATAGAGATGTTCAAAGAACAGGATGGTGTTCCTCTAATAGTGTGGAGAGGAAATCTAGCTTTGGAGTCCAGGACAATGGTTTTGTCTGCTGTTGCACTTGCCCTCTGGAATATCGTGTCCTCCCCCCATGTAAGGTCATCCTCCAACCCTCTGACTTTTTGTAAGAGTCTAAAGACTTGGCTCTGCCAGTTAGTTTGGGGCCCCAGTGGGAGAGCATCACAGTGGAGGTGGCTGATCAAGTAACAACAGATTCCTTCTCACCCATATCCTGCCCCCACCTTCCCCATCTATAATTGGATCATGGTATTTACTCATATTAATTTAATTATGTTTTATATGTGTATATTTTGTAAGCTGCTCAGAGTTACCTTGTGGCAAGATGAGTGGTCAATCCATTTTATAAATAACCAATAAAGGAGAATATTTGTATATCAGGGTTGAAATTAGGGATTACTGGTGTCATTCACACCTGCCCGCCAGCAATTAGCCACTTAGATGGGTGTAGAATAACTCCAAGATTAATATCAGACCAACAATCAAGAAGTAAACAATACCCCAATCAAGGTACTGCCAACAAGCCAAGAATAAACAGCCCAACCAAAGAACTTCCAAGATCACCCCTATCAACACTGACAGGGCAAGCCACTAGAATATAACCCACATCCCACATCCTTACTATCACTGATGATGTTACCTAATTTGGGTAATGAAATGTTTGCAAAAAAACCATCAAGCACAGAGAGTACCAATGACCCTTCATAAACAAACAAACAAACAAAGTGTAGGCTGCAGAAATCCATCTGATTGGTAGATGGTGGCAGGTAGATTCAGAAAACCCTAATTTATCTTGTGGTCATTTGGAGTTTTGAAGCCCAGATGTTAGGCTTACTTTCCATTGTCTTAGAGGTTCACCTAGAAGGTCAGGGGCCTAGAGAGAGAGAATAACATTGTCTTGAGGTTTGGGACAAGATGAGTCCCTGGAAAATAGAGTACACAAAATTGGTAGATCTATATTTATCAAAGGAAAATAGCAACTTTACAGCAGTTTCCAATAAACTAAGGCAAGCTCAGAAGTAAATTGTCTGAACTTCTAAAAACAGACACTGCAAGATCAATCACGTCTGGAACTGGTCCTGAAGGAAAATGAGGTGGAAGTGTCCTTAACTCAGATACAGTAGAATTCTGCAATTTACTCACAACTCAAGTTATGTTTTTGATAGATTAAGGTATAGAAATCAACCAGAGGAGTCTGTTGATAACATTATATGCCCATAGGATTCAGAAATCAGCTCTCTCCAACTAATATTTTCAGATTTAAAGCAACAATACTGGGTTTCCATGTACAGACACTTTCCCATCTCACCTAGCAGCATTGAAGCACACTTTTAAACTTGAAAATTTGGCAATTTCCTTTGATAAGTGTAAGAAAACAGTATGAATTTGTCTTGTTTTTCACAATACCACCTTTGCAACTCAGAAAGAAACAAGTAGTTAAGCTGATATTAATACATTTTTAATTAACTGCTTCATTCACTCCATTTTAATTTCATATTCATTACAGAAGTCCAAAACAAAAGGCAGTGGAACTATAAAAACAGGTTTTTGTGTGATTTATTGTTTGTACATGCTTGGTTTCATCTAGCATATTCTCCTATGTGCCGTATAAATAGGTATGTATAAGTTATGCATACATTGGAAACTCTGCAGAGATAATGGATTGAGAGGCCACAAAATGGTGTTTATTGTCTCTGCCTTTCAAAAAATTACATGCCAACAATCTTTCTGCTGCCACCAATGTGAAATCAAACAGCCATTCTGCCTTTTAACCTGGGATAGAAGAGAATATCAAGCAAATGATACTTTTGACACCCAGCAATTATTTTGTTGGTTTTGTATATTCCTCTTACTTTATGAGCTTGATTAAAAATATATCAGTTATTAATATATGTTATATTACAGGTATTAAACAATATATGTATATGTATAAGTTTGCAAATCTATAACGCACATTTAATTTTGCCATTTTGTTACTTTTCTAAGGCTAGAGAAGTTACAAACTCTTCTTCTGCAGAAGAATAAGCTGACCTACCTTCCACAAGCCTTGGTCAATTTGCCAAAACTCAGTTTATTGGTTGTGAGTAGTGAAAATTTGGTTCAGATGCCCACAGCCATCTGTAACTCTTCCACTGGCTTAAAGTAAGTCAATTACATTCAGACACATTTTCTTCCTTTGTATTTTGTCTTGTTATTTGTTTGGATTAAGTAAAAGACATCATGTAACATGATTCCCCAAAGTTGTGATGCATCTACCCATGCATTAATATGAGTGAATACTGTGGTATTCACAGAACTGACGGCAGTCCCCACTCAGGTCCGCAGTTCTGGCGGAAGCGCCGATCGCTCCCATTGGCTGATGCCGTTTGACAGCTGGCTATAAAAGGAGCTGTCAAACGGCATTAGCTGTTGCCGCCAGCTGATCTGCCTTGTTAGCCTCGGGAGCCGCGGCAACCCTTTATTCATTGAATAAAGCTTTTAACTGTCTGCTCTGAGTCTGCCTCATATCTCCGCCGCTCTACAACAAATACAGTAGTTTAATTAATTAATGCTGTGCATCTTAAACATAGTAGAATAAATACACAGCCTGTGGTTACTTGTGGATCACTCCAGTTATTGTCTTGGTTTTTAATTCCAGAATAGGCAGCACAATATCAAATGTAGTAGCTATGTCATAATCAGGAAGGAGGTAGGCTAAGATAAACATTTAACATGTAAGAACAATTATTTGCATTTATGGTTTAGCAGCAAAGAATTGAGGCCTTTGAACTATGGTTCTGGAGAAGACTCCTGCGAGTCCCTTGGACTGCAAGGTGATTAAACCCGTCAGTCCAAGAGGAGATCAACCCTGACTGCTTTTTAGAAGGCCAGATCCTGAAGATGAAACTCAAATACTTTGGCCACCTAATGAGAAGGAAAGACTCACTGGAGAAGAGCCTAATGCTGGAAAAGATTGAGGGCAATAGAAGGGGATCACAGAGAATGAGGTGGCTGGATGAAGTCACTGAAGCAATCGGCATGAGCTTAAATGGACTCCAGAGGACGGTAGAGAACAGGAAAGCCTGGAGGAATGTTGTCCATGGGCTCGCAATGGGTCGGACACAACTTTGAACTAACTAACAACAACAAAATGGTTTAGAGTGCAATTATGCATCATTGATGCATAAAGTAAAATCTGTGTGAGGCTGATGAATTGCATAATATTTTTTTCCCAAATAAAAGACCACTTGGTCCATACTAGCATAAGGTCCATGGCCTCTGCCTCTGAAAACAGTCCTGTTCTCAGAGGCTAGTCAAAAATCATTAGGAATAAATAGTTCACAAAACTGGATAAGGAGGATCAGAGTTTATTGATAACAATACACAAATGAAGTTCTGGGTATTACATTGCTCTTAATCTCCTGCTATAAGTTGCCAATAGTTTTTGTATGTGTGTCAGTAGTAGTATTCAATTTTTTTTTACTACCAGTTCTGTGGGCATGGCTTGATGGGTGTGGTATGGCTTGGTGGGTGTGGCAGAAGGATACTGTAAAATAACATCCCCATTTCCACCCCACTCCAGGGGAAGGTTACTGTAAAATCCCCATTCCCTTCCCCACCCCACTAACCTGCTTGCCATCTCCATTCTCCTGTGCTGGACAACAAAAGAAGACCCAACCAATCAGCTGGGCCTCTAACTCAGGAGGCAGCAAATAGATGGGGGGCCAACCAGAGGTGGTATTTACCAGTTCTCTGTACTATTCAAAATTTTTGTTACCAGTTCTCCAGAATCTGTCAGAACTGGCTGAATACCACCTCTGATGCGTGTGTTTGTTTGTTTTTTAAAAATACCATATATATTAATATATATATATATTAATATATATTCAATGACTCTGATGTGTCATAAGCAGTTTCAGTGGATCAAGACGCATGGGGATTCTTTTTGATTGAATAATTGAGCTTACACTTTTAGTGTTTCCTATGCTTGCTTCTAGAAAAGACACTTCTTAATTAAATTTGTAATAGATAATGAGTGTTACGAACAGTGAACATTGTAGCAAAGTTTTGTTCATGGACAAAATTGGCTTTGCTTTGTAACAAAGTAGGAAGAAGAGAAAATTTACAGGGCTACAAATCATGTGGCTATAGCAAGTAACAATCTGCTCAGGATCAGAAACATTATATAACTTTTCGTGGTAATATGTCATCACCTTGCAGATTTATAAGCCTCAAGGATAACCCTCTTGAAACAACATTTCAGGAGATTCAAGAAATAACAGAAAGTGACCGCGATCGTGAACTCTTTGAAAAAGAATTTATGAGAGCCTACATTATGGATATACAAGAGAGAGGTATGGGTGCATCTAAATGAAACTCCAAGCTATTTTTTTTTACATTCTAGCTGATTTTCTGGACACATTTTAGAAAATATTGAATTGCATATGCCTGTTTGTTCCATGTAAAGCATTTCACCTGGAATTTGGTAGAGACAACTAAGCATTATGGGCAGGGAGAGTACATACCCTCAATCCAGCTGTCTGCTAAATTGACATATCTGTCAACTATAGCACTAGAGACATTTCAGCCTCTGCTAAAAGTGAAGAAATAAAATAATTGTATTGGAAGTAGCAATGTCAGTGTTTCTATTTTTAAAAGGAGAGCTAGTTTCTAACTGTTATGATAGAAAAGTGCACATGGCATCTCAGAAAGAAAGGCGAGGGCAATTTTAGAAGTTTTCCCATTTTTCTCTAGCATCTAGCATGCTCCTTTATAGTAAAGCAAATGTTATCCTCTTGCTTAATTCCTAACAGACCATTTTATTTCCATATCTTCCAACAATTACAGAATGAATATGAAAGCAACTTCACAGAAGTGATGGTTTACAAATTTTGCCCTTCTCTCTGCCCATTCTCTTCTTTTAAACCATGTAATCAAAAACAAAAAAGTTGCTCCTTTCTTTTCCTTTATGCTTTTAACAGCAGAACGACACACAGAAAGTTAAAGAGGTGAAGATTGTTCATGCATGGAAGTATGTCTAGAAAGCTCTCCACACATGCCAGGTTTCTTTTGAAGTCAGAAGTGCAGATCCAACAAAACTAAAATATGCCATAGATAGGATGTACTATTGATGCATGATGTGATGATAGATGGAAAACTAATATGATAATATCTCAACTCCTGACATTTTTGTTTGTTGTTGCTATTTATTATAGAAAATTGTAGCAATCAATATTCACAATTATACTTAAGCACAGGGAATAAGCTTCAACATCTGGTTTATCTTCATTGATTGCCGAAAATTTTAGTAAACTGCATGGGAAAATTTCATTAACTGCATTAATTTCCACTACCAATGGAAATTAAACTAAGGCGAGGGTTAGGTCTCCATGGGGTCAGGGCAGAACAATAAATTGTTAGTCTTTCTCTAAGAAATGCACAGTGATAGCTTACAGCAGGGGTGTCAAACTCGATTTCATTGAGGTTGGGTTTAACCTTGATGGGCCAGGATGGGCATGGCCAGGGTGGGCATGGTCATCTCAACGTTATTCATGTTGGGGGCACCTATGATGGTCTGAGTGCTCTGCCAGCAAAAATGGGCTCCCAAACTCTGTTTCATCTGCAACAGTGTCTTGCAACCCTCTGTCAGTGAAAATTGAGTTTTGGAATGCTGCCCGGGGGCCTTGCAAGCTCCGTTTTCAGATGCAATGGCCTCCTGCAACCATCTGCCAGAGAAAATGGAGCTCAGGAGGGCCGCATGCAACTCTCTCAAGCTCTGTTTTCGCTGGTAGTGTCACTGCAATCTGGCCCTTCACTGTTTCCAGGGCAGCCCCATGGGCCAGATCTGGCCCCTGGGCCTTGAGTTTAACATCCCTGGCTTACAGTTTGGACTTGTCTGTGGACCACATTAAAGTACATGGGAAAATTGCTTTGCAAATGAAATGAAGTGAAATCACGGCTCAGGTTAGAATTAGGGTTAGAGTTAAGATTAGGATCAGGGTTTGGTCTCCATGGAGTCAAAACTGAAAACAAATATTTTCAGTGATAGATTCTTAGAAGTTCTCTAAGGAAAGTGATGGTTTTTGTTTGGAGTTGTTTATGGACTACAGTAAAATGGGAAAATCCCAATGCCAATAAAAATGAAATTAGGCTTGGGTAAGGAATATTGCCATTGTCAATTAGGTTAGGGATAGGATTAGGTTTAGGATTAGGTCTCCTTGGACAGGGACAGAAACTGATGTCAGGGATAGATTCTTAGAGATTCTTCAAGGAAGCTGCTAATTAGAGGTGTCAAACTGGCAGCCCATGGACCGGATACATCATGCACAGGCCACACCCACCCCAGCTCTGTGAAAGAAAACAAATCGCAATACATCACATGACAGCAACATGACACCATGAGTTGGACTAGTGATGGATTTCAGAGATCAGTCATTGTGCAGGCTGCTAAGATGTCTGACTGCCTGGGCAGTGTTTATTACATTTATAGGGTTTTTACAAGAAGACAAAGGCAACATAGATATAGCATCTGGATTGGAGAATAGATCCTACATGGGTGAAACCTTTCAACCACATTGGTACAACCTCCCAACCAATCCTTAAGACTAGTAGTGATGTTAGTAAAATGAGGTCACCTATAAGTCTGGAAAGTCTGGGACTTTCCATCTTCACCAAGATATAGGGAATGAGATCATGCAAATAGCCAAGAGGCCCCATATAGGTTTTCTAGACAGCTGCAGTTTGCTGCTAGCATCTAGCGCCATCCATAGGATCTCAGTAGCTACTACAGACTAGTTTATGGACCACAGTAAAATTCATGAGAAATCCCATTGGTGAACAAAATCAAACTAGTTAGGGTTAGGGATAGTGTGAGGGTTAGGCTTAGGTCTCCTTGGAGTCAGGGCCAAAAACTAAGGTCAGGGATAGATTTATAATGGCTTGGCAACAATAGCATCAGTTAAAGCTTTTTGTTCAGACTTTTTAATGGAAAATACATCAGAAAATTCCATTGCTAATGATAATGAAACTATGGTTGATTTTGGCTTTGGATTAGGGATAAGGTTAGGTCCCCTTAGAGTCAGGGCCAAAAATTAACATCCAAAATATATTTTTTAAAGTTCTCTAAGGGAAGAGGAGGTAAAAGCTTTTTGTTTGGATTGTATACTACTTTATAATACATGGGGAAATCCCATTGCCAATGAAAATTAAACTAGATTGGATTATGTATAGGGGTAGAGTTAGGGTAAAGTCTTTTTGGAGTCTAGGCCAAAAATTAATATCAGGGAAAGATTTTTATTGGTTCTCTTAGGAAAGTGAAAGTTAAAGCTTTTCATTCAGACTTGTATATTGCAATCAAACCAGGGGTGGGATTCTACCAGTTCTCACCTATTCGCTAGAACCGATTGTTAACATTCTAAGCAGTTTGAAGAACTGGTTGTTAGAAGAAATTACTGGCCTAATCCTGTAAGGAAGGCAGGAAGGAAACATTCTGGTGTTGCTTACAGAAACTGCCTCTCTATTAACCCTTATTACATTCTAGGACTAGACTTCCTGTCTCAGGAACGTCTCTGGAGTTTTTTCCCCTCCTTTGCTGGTACTTTGCTTGTGTGGAGTGACCATTTAAAGTTACAATGGCACTGAAAAAAGTGACTTATGACCATTTTTCACACTTACGACTGTTGCAGCATCCCCACAGTCATGAGAGGCCAGGCGAGGAGATGCGTGCCTCGATATGAGTGATATTGAGTTGGCCATATCCAGCCAATAACATGACCACCAAGCCATGTCCACCCAGTCACATGACCATCAAGCCACACCCCCACCTAAGCCATGCCCACAGAACTGGTTGTTAAAAAATTTGAACCCCACCCCTGAATCAAACACATGGAAAATCCCATTGCCAATGAAAACTAAATTAGGATTAGGTTAGGGATAGAGTTAGGTTTAAGATTAGGTCTCCTTGGAGTCAGGGATGAAAACTAATGTCACAGATAGATTCATAGGGGTTCTTCAAGGAAAGCATCAGTTAAATCTTTTCTTGTGGACTTGTTTAAGGAAAATACATGGGAAAATTCCATTGCCAATGAAAATGAAACTATGGTTGGGTTGCAAGTAATACTTTCTTAAATGTTCTCTAAGGAAACAAATGGTTACAGCCTTTTGTTCAGACTAGCTTATGGACCATCTCAGTCTTGTGTTCATCCAGAAGAAGCAAGTTTCTTCTAGTAGCACAAGAGATTTTTTTCCCATTTACTATAGTTAATTTTGTATCATCCTAACTTTCTTAATCTATTAATTTTTGAATCAGGATGTTTATTTGATGTAGTCATAAATCTACATTTGTTTTATTTTGTCAGAAGTTGCCTAGATCACAAATGTTAAGTTATTTGTTTTTATTCCCATTTAGTCAAACTGTGCCATAAGTGCTTACCAATCATTGTCATTTTTAGAGAAAGTAGATTATTTACACAACATGAAACTAAATATTTACTCCATCTGGGAGCTATTGAGGGAAGGAGATGACAAATGGATTACAAAGTGATGTTATAAGGCAAAACCTTTTTGGATAATGATCAGAAAGGTTATGTGTATAGTTGTGAGTGTCAGGCCACAAGCTATCAGGTATAACCATCATGTTATAGACTTTATTGTTGTTGTTCAAAGAAACTAATCTAAGTCCAGAAACCTAAAAAGGACATAAACAGAAATGGGGTATGTTCCTTCAAACTATTAACAAGATACAACATGCTGTCATAAAATAAAGAATGAGTCTAACTAAGGTCTTAAATTGCCTTAGTGACTGACAGTAGCCTGTTTCAGTTTGCTTTATGCTGTAATAAAGTTGGCTTGATTTTAGCAAACCTTGTTAAGTGATCAGAGATACTATGGCCAGTAATTTGTAGTTCAGTGTGTTATAAATATTCATCTTACCACAGTTAATTCATTAACCAGGGATTTCTATGCTATATAAACCCACCTAATAAAAAGACACCGAATGCCTGTACCATTGGCACCAGTTTCTTAACTTGGATAGGGGAGGAACATTCATGTCATGTGGCCTCTGGGTTGATTTCAGTAAGATGAAACAGAAATGAGATGGGGAGGAAGGTATGGTCTGTAATAAAACAGAGAGAAGAAAAGAATGGAGAATAGGAATGGGACAAAAGAGAGAAGGGAATCGAATGGAGTGGCTCAGAGATAAGTGGGTATTATACAGTGGTCTTGATTGGGGTTTGTTGAATATGCTTAATTTCCTGTGTTAAGCACTGAGATAGGCAAAAGTCAAGCCCAAAAATGCTAGAGCAGGGTTTTCAAGCTCGGGGCCCATGGGGTGGATGTGTCATGCACTGGCCACACCCATGCCCAGTTTAGTGAAGGGGAAAAAAGTTGCAATGCATCATGTGACAACCTCATGATGATGCGAGTTTGATATCCCTGTGTTAGAGAATTCCTAGAAGTCTGGCACTCAGACAAATCTACCACCAACTGGCACATATGAATAAACAACATCTACATTCCATTCAAAATAGATAATCAAAAAGCTAAAAAAATAAGACCAAAACATCTGCTTGCCAGCAACCAATATTCAGATTGAGATAAGCCGAGATAAACACCAATATTAATTCTAGACCAACAACCAAGAAGTAAACAATACCTCAATCAAGGAACTACCAACTCAGACAAACAGCAAGCAACAGCCTAATGAAGGAACTACCAAGAATACTCCCACCAACACTGACAGGGCAAGAAAACTCCACTCTCTTCTAACACTGATGATGTTACCTAGTTGGGTAATGAAATGTCTGCACAAAAACACCCAAGCTCAGAGAGCATATAGGATCCCATAGACTAAACAGCCTATCAGGAGCAATCCAGAGCCATTCCAAACATTTTTCTTTCTTTCTCATGTACCAATAATTGGTTCATATGATATCATAAATTTTAATCTTGAATTCAACAGCTAAAGGAAACAGAATGGAAATTGTTAGTTATTGGGGACAAACCCCCAAAAAACAGAATGTGCAGCAGCAGTCAAGCCAGGCAGCCAAATGAGAGAGGAAGGGCCCTAGAGTTTACACACACTGATGACAAACACTGTTTTGTAGTTTAAATAGTTGTTTAATCCTATTAGAGTTTAAACATTGTCAATCAGTCCATATGTCATACACAAATATATCCATTCAGTAACTTAGTCCATTTACTAGTCAGTTCTATATCCTTATCTGCTTGTAAAGATATCTTCTCCTTTGATACCTTTCCTTTTGAAGACAACGCTGAGTATTCACAGGATATCAGCACATCAATGAAATAGTCCTTTCGTTCAGGTATTCAAACAGTTGTAGCAAACAGTAGCAAAACAAACAGTAGCAAGCAGAAAAACAAGCAGAGAGAGAGTTACGTTTCTCTTACTGCCTTTTATTGCCATTTGTAACCGCACCCTTAATTAGTTAATTACAAGCAGTTTGGTGCTTAAAGCTACAAGTTACAAACACCCAAACCTTGGTTTATATATTTATTCACCCAAACTTAGTTGGTGTATCAATGTTATACCCAACAGAAATCAAAAAGAAAACTACAATATAGCAGAGACAGAGCCCTGTTTCGTTCTTTGGCAGCAAAGCCTCGTTACCAGAAGTCAATACTTGTGAATAAAATAATTTTATTAGTTTCTTGATCTTCAGGATTGGCCAATAGAACATGAGTAGCAGAGAGGTTTATTTGAAGGCAGTGAGGAACTTACCTGGTATGTGAGAAAGAGCAGAAGATGGCTTGGGCCTTACCAGGCTGAATCATATATAGAGCCTATTTTAATGCATTCTCATACTTTATCCCAAACCAGGATCTGGAAATCATTTCACATTTCATTTCAGCAAAAATCCTGAAATTTCAAAAGATTTGACGATCTCACAAGATTGGGATGTTTATTAATTTGTTAAAAACATTTGGGGGTTCTGGGAATTATTTGGATATTTTTAATAGATGGAGTGTTATTTTTCACCCCTGGAGCATTTTTGAACATTTTCTTGCATGGTCCCTTGTTGCATGTATTTCTGGTCTATCTTATACTAGATTACACTGAATCCCATGCATCCATTAGAGACTCAGAAGCATCTCTGTTGTGTTCAACACATTATTCCCTAAGAACATCAGTTGTATTTCAAGCAAGAATAGTATTAAAAATAATGGGATTTTTCTATTTAAAATGGTACATGCATTTCAGTGAAACGATTCATAATATGAAAATTTATGCTTTGTCTTTACAGAGATTGTTCCTTGCTATACCACAAAAGTATCGCTTAGCATCCAAATATGAACAGTGGAATTTCTATAAACAGGAACTCTATAAAGACTCACTTCTGCCAGATGAATTAGAAACCATCCTCAGCATACAATAACAACAAAAGCTCTTTTTAAGAAGAAAAGAATAAGCTATCAATAATAACATTGATGCATAATGGAAGATTTAAATGATTGGGTGAGCATATGATAGTTGCAATCATATGTAACCATGACTGCATTCACTTTGCAAAATGTTTCTGTTATGAAAAAAAGGATGTGATTATACTTATATACTTATATGAAAAAAGTAGAAAGATTTAGGTTATAAGGCTTGTGTTGTAATGTTTTTTTTTTCAGATGAAACAATAAACATTTTGATTTTTTCTTATCCCATCATCAGGGATAGTCATTTGAGCCCTGTGATCCACTGGAGAATGATCAGAATCAAGGTGCAATTAACTGTGCTACTCTATGCATGTTTACTCAGTTTCTACTCCGCACAGCTCACTGCCAGGGAAGTAAACCTATTTTCTGAATTCATTACATTTACTGTAGATTCGATCTTTCACCTTGGAGTTAAAAATGGTTGCAGGGATGGGTAATTGGATCTATACCACCTTGTGAGACAGATCCATCTGACACATAGAGATTAGTCTAAAGTTACCCACTGATCTTCATGGAATGTAGATCTCAATCTCACCCTATTTGCGTTTCAACAACTTAATTACATTTTTAGATGGGATGAAAGATTTACAAATAAACATATTTTACAAACTTTATTTGCAGAGGGTTTTTTTTTTTACATATTTTACAGTGGTTGCCCAGGGATTGTTTAGGTAGCCTGACAGGATGATGATCAACTTGATACACTGCAGTTATATTTCTGAAACCACTTCCTAAAATACATTTCCCTCTGACTTCCTTTTGAATGGGAGTCTCAGACAAAGCTATTGCTTATTTTCTGAGTTGTGTAATGGCACATAAGAAAAAAAAATGAAATGATTGCTCATAGTTAACTTGTTTACTTTATTTTTTCGAAGCTTTTTTTTCCATTGTGACCTTAGACTTGAAATAATTGCTAGTAATAAATTGCCATACCGAATCAATTATGGTGGCTCTATTTTTTTCTTTTTTCAACAGTTTGCACTTTCATTAGAGGCCACCAGAACTTTAATTCAGAGCTGGAGGGCTACAAAATGATAGTCATAGCAAAGACAGAGGAAACTTCTTCGCTGCCACCCAGTGTCTGCCTGGATTTTTGCAGTGCTGATGTGATAGCTCTATTCATTATCATCCCTTCCATATGTAATAATATTTTAAACTCAAGTGATTTTAAGAGCACCCCTTAATGATAGGCATGGAGGCATGGTTAAAGATGATGAGCTTGTTAGCTGGAAGGCTAGCAGCCTGGGTTCGAGATCCAAGCGCTGCGCAATGGGATGAGCTCCCGTTACTTGCCCCAGCTCCTGCTCACCCAGGAGTTTTGAGATATGCAAATGTGAGTAGATAAATAGGTATCACTTCAATGGCAAGGTTAACAGCATTCTATGTACTTTGGCATATAGTCATGCTGGTCACATGACCATGGAAATTGTCTTTGGACAACACTGGCTCCTTTAGCTAAGAAATGAGATGAACACCGTCCCTTGGAGTCAGAAATGACTGGCTAGGGGAAACTTTTAAATTTACCTTTACAGTAGTCATTGATCTGATATCTGTAAATTAAAATAAAGCCTTCATACAAAGCAACAGTGAGATGGATTTGCAAAGAATGTATGATTTTCTGCTTTAATTTCTTACAGGAAAACATCTTTTAAACTGTTGAAACCTGTTGAAACTATTTTTTAAATTCCCAGTTTGCTTAGGAAATTTCAGCCAGTCAAAATCTGTTATTTGGAGGTGGGTTTTAAAAAAAACATTTATAAGAAGTTACATAAAAACAAAGAACTTAAATTTTCTAGTAATCAGTAAAAGACCTTATGTGTTTTATCTTACATAGTAAATTTTTCTATTTGTCATTGTTAATAAAGTTTGCTTACAAAGATATTCATAGATACATAGCTGATTTACATAAAATGAAAACATCGGCAATCTTTAGGATGATAAGAATTTATCTTGACAGACACTCATTTGGAAAGATACCATAAAACTTTAGATGCATAAAAAGAGCTAGACATGTTTCAGCGGCTCAAAGTTAGAAGAATATTTAAGAACTAAGCACTTTCATTAATATTTGTAACATTATTATTTGTTGGTTATTAACAGTTTTGATCTTGTGCATAAGACATAATTGTGTTTATTTTTATTTGAAAAAATTACTTGTTTTGTAGTATGTCATTTTTGTTGGTTTAGTGCACATTAAACTTGTAAAATAATTTTGTTTTGCATAATCCCTTTTTCCATTCAATAAATACTCTATATTGATAATCCAATTAATCTGTACTGTACTTTCATTTGTGTACCGGGTGTTGGCCAATTTTCATCTAGTCTCCTATCTTCCCCTTTTGGGGAATTGGTTGAAAGGGTGGTTGTAGCATCAAATGGCCCTGGGAGAAGCAGATTATCCCCTTCAATCAGATTTCAGAATAGGATACCTTACTGAAATAGTATTGATCATGGTTGTTCATTATCTCTGATAGAACTTGATTTGGGATGGTGCACCCATTCTAAATCTCCTTGATCTCTCAGTGGCCTTGATGCTATTGATATAATATTCTGGGCAGAGTTCAAGGGTGGAATGGGTGTGTGTGAAGTGTTTTCCTCATTCCCTCAGGATTGATTGTAGTAGCTGTTGGTAAGAAAGGAGCTATACCTGTGGGATCCCTCACCCTCAGGTCTCCTGCTCCTATGCAACATCCACACAGAGTTCCTGAGTAAAATCATCCATTGCCAAATGATTAAGTATCATCAGTATCACCTTGTTGTCCTCTAGTGCAGAGGCCCCCAACCTTTTGGACACCAGGGTCCAGTTCATTGGAGAAAGGTTTTTCTGTGAACTGGAGAGGGGATGGTTTTGTATGTTGCCTGCATCCCATGGATGGGGCTTTGCTTGTTTGCATGCCCCAGATGCTGACATGCTGAGGACCAGTGTTGGTCCATGGACTGAGAGTTGGGGACCTCTGATCTATGGTCATTATGACTTTTTTCCTGCCATCATCTGGTAGTCCTAAACAAGTTACTGAATGAGTAACCTGTATGCCAGATAATTTGCTCTGTGCTCCTTAAGATGCTACATTTAGAAATGATGGAGGGATCTCTTGTTCCATGAAATCTTGAAGGTAGATTCTATGCTAAACCAATCATGTCTTGAACATGGAATGAAAGATCAACATCCTGATCATCTCTGGAACAAAATGACTTGGACTTAGAGATCCTGGTTCAGTCTTCACACACTGCCTAAGTCCCTCTACCCAACATAATGAGCCGTGGTGGTGCAGTGGTTAGAGTGCAGTACTGCAGGCTACTTCTGCTGCCTGCCGGCTGCCTGCAATTTGGCAGTTCAAATCTCACCAGGCTCAAGGTTGATTCAGCCTTCCATTCTTCCGAAGTGGGTAAAATGATTGTTAGGGACAATATGCTGATCTGTAAACCACTTAGAGAGGACTGTAAAGCACTGTAAAGTGGTATATAAGTCTAAGTGCTATTCCTATCATAAAAGTATGGAATCATAGAATTTAGAAGGGGCCATTTAGATAATCGAGTTCAACTATCCATTCCCTGTAGAAATCCAAATGGCTTTTCTCCTCTCCAGCTGACTGCATCCAACGAAGGGTTCCCTCTCAATATAATGTTTCCGATTGTCAAATACAGTGTTACTCTCAAGGCCTTCAACCAAAGAAGGGTTATTCCTCCCAGTCCAGTCACCGATTTTTTAAAAGGCCAGTTTTTTAACTTTAATGACTGAAGAAAACAAAAATACTTTAAAATGTATAAAAATACATTGAAATTATCATGCTACTTAGATGATCCAATATGGATCTACTTCTAGTTCTTGCTTGTAGCAAAGAAGCTTTCACTTATAAATAAACTCAAATTTTAAAAGATAACTAAAAAAGTTAGTAGATCTTATTTGGCTCTAAATCAATAAAGTTAAAGAGAAAATACAATTATCTTTTCTTTCCTCTTGACCAGTGACATTTAAATGCCACCTAGAAGTGGATTTTTCACTGTTGCAGGGGGTTGGGGAAGGAGAGTATCAATTTATCATAAGATCTGACAGCTTTTCATATAATGCAATTTGTTACAAATGGACTTCTGGTACAAGATGCCAAGAGGGCAGAAAAATATAAGTTTGCTTTGCTTCAACTGAACAGTTAACACAAGGTTCAGAAGCAGAAGACACAAAGGAATACTTTTTATTGTTTAATTGCATTACCTTGCCTTTGTTTGACAACTGTTCCACAAATTCCACCTGTTTTCTTCCCCTTCATTAATCCTTACTTATCTTTCTTCTTTCAACTTGTGAATCTCCAGAAGACTGTTTACAAAACTAATTTGCTACTAATTACAACATAGGTTTTCTTTCCTGTTTTTATTAGACGAAGCTAAGGGAAAATCAGCACTGAAAGAGCAAAACCGTCAACAATATTAATACAAGTCAATGGGATTTTTACACAGATCCATTGAGTTAGGTCAGAATTAGCTAAAAAACCAATACTGTATTCCCATAATGACATCAAACAGTTTATTTGAAACCAAGAGAAGATATTTTCTTTCGTATTGAGACAGCAATATTGATAGGTGACTTATCTTGTCACTGGTAAAAACTTGGCTTTACTCCCTCTCTCAACCTAGAAATTTAGCACTCTGGTCGTGTTGACAAGGGAATCTGCTGCTAATTTCAGAGATGAAAAATGATGGAATGCTTATTATAAAATTAGAGTGTTAAGTCTGACCTTTCACAGTAACAACTTGACACTGGATGCTTGCATATAAACCACAGGACTTTGGTTGTGACTTTGAGATATAAATTTAATCCTTTCTCTCCAATACCTATGCTGGTGACTAGTTGTAAACAATACTTTTCCATTTACTCCATTCATACTATGCTAGGAGTTTTGACTATGCTAGAAATTTCAGGAAAATACATAGTGTCATTTCATCATCATAACCTACAAGCGGTTTTTCAGCTAGAAATACAGGTAGTTGTTGACTTACAACAGTTCATTTAATGACTGTACAAAGTTACAATGGTATTGAAAAAAGTGACTTATGACCGTTTTTCACAGTTACGACTGTTGTAGCATCTCCATAATCATGTGATCAAAATTCAGAAGCTTGGCAATTGGTTCCTACTTAAGACCATTGCTGTGTTCCAAGGTCATGTGACCAATTTTTGCAACCTTCTGACAAGCAGATAACAATGTATGGTTTGATAGCTTATCAGAAGGGGAGCATTAATTTCATCATGGTGATTTCTGCAAGTTCTCAGACTTTTAAGGTTGGGAGATGCAAAAATGCAGATCAGTTTCAATGTGAAGCATTGGAAAGTGCAATTGATCTGTTTAGGAAATGCCCTGAATCTCTAAGATGCAGTTTCACAATGCAATTCTATATTTTTCTTCATGGAAATAAATGTGTGCATATTCCTTAATCTGTATCATTTCCTCTTGACTTGTGGTATATGCCAATACATTAAAAAAAAATGACTGAGCAGAACTAATACATAAATACCAACACTTTAAATTTCATATTAATGCATATTATGCATCTGAAACATTATTTGAACATCCTTCATTGAGGCAGGGTGTTACATCTCTGGAAATTTATCAAGATTTTTTTATAAAAAAACATACCAAAGTCAAATTAGGAGGAATTTGATTATAACTCCATAGGCATTCAAACTAAATTTGGAGTTTACTTTGTAACCCTTAGGGAAAAAAAGAAGGGACCCACTTTTTTTGCTCTGTTATCTGTCTGAAATTCTATAAAAATCTTTATATAAGCCTTCTATTTTACTTATATAAGCCCTCCAGAGTCATCGTGAATTGGAAGAGCATATAAATATTCTTAATAAATTATAAATAAGATTCTTTTATTTGATTTTCATTCAAAGACAGAAATATGATTCAAAATGCATATAACTTCATCAGAAATGCTTTAAACCAGCTGGGTTCTTTCTTGATCTCACAGGCCTATGGTTCACAGCTGTAGTAAGATCGTAGAGAGGAACCCATTTAGTAGGCAGAAAGCAGTTATGGTTCAGGAGAGCTCAAATAGTTTTTATTTACCTTATAACTTTAGCAGTTCACAAGCTTCAAGTATGAGGAATTCAGAAGCAAAGATATGAAAGCAGTCTGGAGTAGTCTAAAGGACTCAGGCCAAAAAGAGTTGCATAGATTTGTTCATGAATCAGTCAGAAGATCCACACACAGGACAAGATGCTAGAAAAAGTAGAACACCATAGAAACATAGGTGTGGAGCAGGAGAATCCTTTTGGTCAAGAGGAGATGGTATGAAAATTGGTCTTATATAGGCATGACTTAATTAAAGGAATTGCTGCCTTCCTTGAGGAGTCATGATTACCACTTCTGGTCTTCTTAACTCTTAGCTACTCTTGAGTTGGACATCCTATTGGAATCTTCTTCCTCATTATCTGACTCATCTTATGGTTCATTATATCTGCGATGTCCTTCATCACCTTTTGACTTTCCAGGTTAACAATCCATGAAATCTGCTTCTTCATCACCTGAATTAGAGTTAGAAGATGCCATAATATCCATGTACCCTCTGAAACACCTTTGAAGCTACAGGGCTTATTCTGTGCTTTTCACCTATATTTCAGAGAACTGAGATTGTGAGGCAAGTGCAAATGATATGTAAGCAAGAGTTTGAAGCAGTATTAATATTTTTGTCTGTGGAAGATTGTTTTTCTTCTAAATTTTTATCCTGATAGGTATATTCTGTTGAAAAGTGATCCTACTCCCATAGTTTTGCAATGAAGAAATATCAGGAGCAAAAACAAAAATCAGTAAACATCCAGAGATCAAAAGCCAGGAAGGGACCAACGCAAACAGAAGCCAGATGAAAATCAGGATAATAAATGAAGAAAAGAACTTGAGATTCTCAGTGCAGAGATAGCTGGAATGTCAAAAGCAAGAATATTGACTCCCTGAAATACAACTCTGTCTTTGAGAACTATGTGCACTGATTTGTTAAAAATCCTTCAAATTCCACACCCAATTTACATTTGATTTTGAGTAAATATCATATTTCAGGGTGTAGATTTTTGAGATGCTGGTGACTAATTTTGGAAAAGAAGGAAAGAAGCTTCAAATGCCATTTGCATATAGAAATCATCACTCATTAAAAAAAAATAACAACAAAGCATGTACTGGTCAAGCATGTACTTCCCCCTTTTCACATTTAGCCATCAGTTATTGTTTTGGTAACTTTTGCATTTGCATTGTTTTTTTTTCAC